ATGCATATTTGTATGTACAATTTTTGAATAACCCATAAAACAACCAGTAGCCCAAATCAAATTTCTTGACCTGGTAAAAGCTAAATGTCGTTATCTCTGGGTAAAAAAAACGCCTTCAGTTTTACGAGTTTGTCTGTCTTTCCACATAGGTTAACACGGCACAGGCAGTTGCAAATGCACTGTTTGCCTCCCCAAATCCTCATTCATTTCCCTGAAAGGTACTTCTTCACTGACAGCTCCCAAAGTAAGGCTTTTAAAGGACATTCTTAGAAGAGTCCCCAAAGGGGGGGAAAAAAAGTTAAAAAATCTTACACTTTTCAGGCAGAACTACATGACCATGCCAGCAACATTTATGACTAATTGTGGGGAAAATTTATATTTACTTTCCAATTCTTTATGATGCTAAAATGTAATTTTTCAAATGTGCAGGTGAGGTGAATAATGTAACATACCTGAACCTCTGATGGGGCCGGGCAAGAGGGAAAGGAAGAGGAGGAAACAATGGAGTTTTACTACAAATGAGATTCCTACAGCTGCTCTGAGGCTCAGCACCCTTGACGGTGAGACCAACCGTAGTGCAAAAGGCTCAGAGCCCTCACTTTCCCCAGGTCGGCCGCGGAGAAGAATGAAGGAACATTGGCTCAAATAAGAAAGCTGGAGGGTTTGGAGAGTCGGAGTGTCTCCATCCAGGCGACCACAGCTCCTTCCACCTCTCATTCCCCTTCCCAGTGCCCACCACCATTCCCCTCTCTCTTCCTTTCCTCTTCTCTTTATAATACGTATGAAGCAGATGGGTTAGGTTGGCAAGAGTTCATCCGAGCTCTGCTGCCTTGTACTGGTGCACAGCGCACTGAACTGTGTGCAGGGGAAGCTCCTGTGATTGCAACGTGCCTGTGAGTCACTGGGGACTCTGTCAGCCCCGGCTCTGCTCCATAGGTCTGGAGCGGGACCCCAGGTCCTGGATGCTAACAAGTCCTCATGTGGTGCCCGTGCTGGGGCCACACATAGCACAAGTTTTGATTAACAAGGCACTGGGATTCAAATGACTTTCATGTTAAAAACTTAAGAAGAGGCTTTTGTGTCCACTAATTTTTAAAAATTGTGCTATAAGTCTCTGTGTAATGACACGGCTTCCTACAATAAAGTAGCCAGTTTCATCAAATGTAAAATGACAAGGACACTAAAAAAATGTTTAAAAGTATAAAAAAATTATGTAACTAAAAGAAACTTTAAAAGAAGGCTAGAATAAATATAAATAACAATATCTACAGTGCTTTGTGGGCACCTCCTCCCCATTTAAGGAGCACAGTGAGATGTGACCCTCCATTGCGTGGAACCCTCACGCCAACCCTGTCACAGTACAGTGATCACTGTGTCTTCATCCCCAAGATGAAATAACAAGGGAACATGATTGAGAATTCATCCACAGTCATACAGGCTAATGCTGGGCAGACAGGCATTCAGCCCCACAGCCTCGCTAAAAGCTCAAGCCCTTAACCAAGACACACATTACTACTCATCAAATTAACCGTCGGCCGTTCACCGAGACACTAACCATTTACAGATCCTCCTTGACTTACAGTGAGATTATTGCCCCCCAAATCGACCACACAACTAACCTACCAAACATCCTAGCTTAGCCCAGCCTGACTTAAACATGCTTAAAATACTTACATTAGCCTAAAATTGCACAAAATCATCTAACTCCTTCTTTACAATAACGTGCTAAGCATCTCGTGTTTTTTTAACCCTCATGATCACACAGTTGACAGAGAATTTGTGGCTTGCTGCCGTCACCCAGAAACACAGTTATCATGCTTCAGTTCACCAGCCCAAGAAAAATCAAAATTCAAAACTTGGAGGATGATTTGTATTGAATGCATATCACTTTGCACCGTCATAAATTCATATTGGAACCATGGTAAGCTGGGCGCCATCTGTATTGAAAAATCTTGATAAGGTCTGCAACAAAAATAAAACCTAACATGCCAAGTGACTGCCTGGTCTGGCATTGACCAAAATCCAAACACAACCAAAATATTTGGGCCCCCATAGTATTCTGAAGTTTATAAAAGGAAAAGGAAAAGTTTGCCAACTCCCCCAATTCAAAATACATTTATTTTGAATGTGATTAGCCATACAGACTGAATTATTTATTCAAGCCAAAGGAAAATACTCACTATCCCTAGAACTGTGAACTGACTAGTCCTACCCTTTTAACTGTTATTCAAGAGCTTACTTACATCTTTTAGAGAAATGGAATAAAAACGTTATTCAAAACCCACAATTTTAAGAATAAAACCCATTTAAATACTATAATTTTACACAAATATATGCTTGCTATATTGATATGGATTTCAAAATGTATTCTGAATAATTTTTACTTGACATATCTGCTATTCTTTTAATGAATTTCTCATAAATATTTGGCACTGTTTTTACAATATAACATAGAAAACTGAAAATCAGTTTGTGCATATAATCCGAAGCCAAGTTATTTGTTAACAACAGGCTTTTAATGAATGCAGCCAGAAGGATATTTGCAGACTGGAGCAGCAAAGCTGGAGATGCAGCGTAAGCTTCTATATTTTGTGATACAAGCATATTTGGATTTAAATTGGGTTAAAATGACCGCCAACTGGAAAATCTTTTCAGGCAGTTTGTGTAACTGGCAGAAACGTGTTAAAATGTAAATAAGGACTCCATCCCACCGCAGATGCTTCTTCAAAGATGGAATACCCGAGTGCAGTTTTAACACATATCTTGTTAATTTGATGAATGCCAAATCAGTTGGGCGAAGCCTTCAGGAATCATTGGAGTTTAATAAAATAATCCACACTTGCCAGATTAATATATAAGAAATCTGGAATTTGGGTACTTTATCTTTGCCATCAGTGTAAGTGAAGACATCTGCTCATAGAGAATTGCCAACAATAAAAATACAATGTAGTATCTTTTCTCTGTGTGCTGGGCGGGGTGATGGATGCGTTAACTCACGTGTCCGCAACAACCTGGAGGGAGGCACTGTTACTCTACCCTAACTTATAAATGGGAAACAGAAATGTAGAGACGTTAAATCATCTGCTAACAGTCACGTACCTATCAACAGGGAAAGCTGAGATTAAAACAATTTAATCTGTAGTGCATGTACACACACATACTTCTATGCACATTTTAATATGTTTTATGCATAAAACACCCACGTGTGTGAGTGTGCATGTGTGTGTGTGTGTGTGTATATACAAATTTACTCCAATTCTCCAGTCCTCAGAATCACTTCATGTGATGATAGCCTGAGTGTGACCACACGAGGGCCTACTGCGTTAGAGCTGACCAACTTGGAGTTACAAGCAGCTCCTTGTGTTTTTGACAACTATCGTGGAATATTATTTTTATTTCAAATCAAGGAACACACTTTCTTAAAATCTTAGCAAAATTCCTTGCAATTTAGGCCTACACCCTGGCTTCTGCCTGTACAAGATTCAGGCACATCAGCTGTCCTACAACTGGACCTACCGTCCCTCTCGTCTGCTCTCCAGTCAAGGCGAATGCTCATCATCCTGTCCAGGATACACCTCTTCTTTCCTCGCCTTCTCTCTGGAATCACAGCTCCTTTATCTCCAGGTCAAGCCCCACCCACTGGGTCACGCTGCTCAGGCTCCACGTCCTTTGCAAAGTGCCCCCCTCAAAGTGGGACTCACAGGAAACAGTGCTCCGCACATAGTTCCCACGTTAATGCTGTTCAGATCACCGACAGCCAGTCCCAACAATTCAATTAAGCCAGTAAGTTCCTTTGAGCTCTCATAATTCCAACTCAAGGAATGTTAGCATTTGTTCGTATTTTTTACGCATTTCTGAATAGTTGTAGTTTGTTAAGATTCTGTAAATTATTGTCTACCAATGTATCAAACAAGAAAATAATATGATGTAATAAAAATAGCATGATACTACCAAGAGCCATGTTTGACTTCTGCTATTCCAAGAGATACGAGGCACCACAGGCAAGATAAGGAATGTTATGGATGTGTGTGAGCAGGGGGCATCCAAGGTACATGCTGTATCCGTCCACTCATGCGAAGTTCAACACCAGGCACCACTAAACCAACGGTGTTCAAAATCAGAAGTGCAGTTGCCTTTGTGGTGGGGATTGACTGGAAGAGGCGCCCAGGGCCTCTCTGGAGTGGAAGTCACGTCCTGTGTCTTGGAGGGGCACAGGCTTGCCACCTACCATCTGATTGTGTACTAGACCCATTTCACAGAAAGCAAATTACCTCTCAGTTAAAAAGTGGACAACAACAGCAAGCGTGGACAGCTCTCCAGGAGAGTTTTATGGTAACGGGGTCAGACAGAGATTTGGAGGTTCCAAAAGAGAATTTTTAGTGGAGTTTGGGTTTTAGTTTTACACAGGAGGCCTGCAGCAGGCGTGTGCACTAACAGGCATGGGCC